ACCTTATATTAAGGAATTAAGTGGAGCTGCTGGGGTGCTGTGTTAGGCAGACCACTGGTAAAGAATGAAAGAATTAGGATGATGCTCAGAGAGAAAGCACAACAGATGTGACAGAGTGGCTTGTGGAGAACCTCAAGCAGCAGCAAAGGCCTCTAACAAAAAGTTGTCCTGGCACAGGGTGATGAAAGCAACCACGACCCACACTGAAGACCCCCACACTTCTCTCCTTCACAGAGCCTGCTATGCTGCACTGACTTGTCCTGCATGCTGGCCTGTTCCCTGACCACCAAAGACATGGATGTGACCCCCAGGTGATACTCTCAAGAGCCTGAGAGCACTCAGCCCACGCGGAGGAACAGTCAGAAGGAAGCAGTTGGAAGGAAGTGGCAGGGGTCACCCTGGCCTGCATTGTGAGGGGATGAGGGCTTCATCTTGCAGAGGACACCCAAGGGTTCTGAGCAGGACTGTGGCCCTGTCTAATAGGGGACTGTTTAGGTGAAGTGAGTCTCCAGTTTGTTGCTCTCCAGCACTCCACTGCATTGTGACCACCTCCATATGGACAGCCCCATTGTGTATCTGGTAGGAGGGCACTGGGCCTCTCTCATGAAAGCTTCTGGTTCTCCTGCCTTTGAACTCTTGCCTTCATGTCCTGCCTCTCAGAGTGGGATCAGGTGGTACAAGTCGCCGAGGACTGAAGACCCCATTCCCACATATGGAGAACAGCAGAAACTGAGAATCCCATGACAGTCAGCTGCTGGCCACTGTAACACATTACCCCCAGGCCATTAACTTACAGGAGGGAGGCTTGATTTGATGTCAGAGGTTTTGGTCAATGGTTGCTTAACCATGTTGCAAGGCAGCTCATAATGTCAGAAGGCTGGTGGGGAAAAACATGCTCCCATCCTGACATGCAGGAAGCAAGAGAGGGATTTGCAGGAGGTCATGTTCTCCTCTTCATGGCCTTGCCCACAATAGCAACATGCTTCCACTTATATCTGGAAGGTCCATTTACCTCCCTGCAGCACCACAAGCTGGGGACCAAGCTTTTACATGGGCCTTTGGTGACAGCTAAACTCCAACGAGGACCTTCCTTCTGGCTCAGGGTGGAAATGGATCCCTATCTGTTTTGTGAAACCATGAAAGTGCTGTCAGGGTCTTCATCTCTCCAACTCAGAAACAGGGCCTGGCACGGTAGTCCTTAGTCTGATTCTCCCAAAGTACTGTGTTTTGGAAAAGGAATGCTCAAGTCTTCAAGAGTGAGACTCTAAAGTGTTCTTGTCTAGAGCTTTAGAGAGGGTCACAATAACCGGGAAGTCCCCTGCTACATAATGATGGAGTCAGGAATAGACCTGCACCCTGTCAAAGACCCCATTTCTTACCTGTCAGATGGTGAAGGCAGTGCTTACCTTTCAGGGTGTTGTGGGCTTAAGGAAACAGTAGTTAGCCGGTGCTTTGTTGCACAGTGAGTGTTCTCTAAGTAAGCCAGATGAGGTCTCCCTTTGTGTATTCTCACCAGAGGATGCCCTGCAGGAAGTCATGTTCACTGTCCATGGAGACTTTCAATTGACGTCTCCAAGTGAATGGGTGCAGCTGTTGTCATTTGCCACGGACCAGCCCAGTTGGGCTCCCGGTGTCAGCGGGACAAGAAGGCTTTGGAAAGGAAGACACGGATTTGGTGAATTGACAGACAGAGACCAGTTAAGGCTTTGGAATCTGCTGCACTTTACTGAAATCAAGCTGGTATTTTTATGATTTCACAAAAGGCACCTTAAAGTTGGCATGCTTCCCATAATATTTAGACTTTTACAAAGAATACAAAGTTTACATTTTAACATAGGGGAGTGCCCAAAAGAAATCTTGGCCTGTAAACTCTTTGATCAAAGCAAACAAAGAAAAAGAAACCTCAAATGTATTTTTATTATTGCTAACCAGTGAAGAGGAAAGACAGGAGCTAAGTCAGATGCCTGCCAAAATCTTTCTCTATATCAAAATCTAATTACACCTTTGTTAATCATCCTCCCATATGTCCTGCTAAAGATTTATAATCTTCCCTAGGAACAAGGCACTGAAGGGAGGGGAAACTCCTGCCAACTGTACTTCTCATGCTACTTTTTCTTAAGAAGGAGCCCATTATTTTTTTACTATTCTTTTTTTTTTTCAAATACTACTACTGTAAATAGGATTTATTTTAAGAAATAAATGATAGCCAATACAAAATGTTTGTCTCCGAGAAGTATTTCATACTTATAAGGGAAAAGGTAATTAATATTGAACATTTTCCTTGTTCAGTGTTTCTAATTTTTATAAGGGTTTAGAGTAAGTTTCATAGTCACTAAGCAGTTTTGAAAGGTAGGCTTCATGACCCTTTGACTTCGTGCTTTTACAGGACATGACAAATTATTTTATTCAAATTATGTTTTCCAAAAGAGAGGGTTCTGTGCTAATCGTCTTTGAAAGTTTTCATACCATTTCAGAACCACGTTTGCTGGGATGAACATTTCAGATGGTTTTGGTGTCATCTGAGCCTGAGAGACAGCAAATGATGAAGCAAAATTGTAGAAGTTGTCCAACATCTTCTGTGTGAACTGCGTGAATGAGTCCACAGAGGACACAGCAGCACTGCCTACAGGAGTCTGCTGAGCCAGACTGTCCAACAATTCCACCGAAATTCCAATCTGAGCAACAGACGGGGTTCGCACAATATTCATGGCTCCAAACGGGTGCTGGCTTCCTTCTCCAGATTTAAGACCTGATATTTTGAAGATGGCACTTGGCTTCCCATTCGTGACAAATCCTAGGAGCTGCCACACTGGCACCCCATTTGAGTCAGGATAGGAAAAGTAGACAGATCCTCCCATCCCCTCAGGAAATGGGATTGTTCCCAGCATAAAAACCACGACATGGTTGATATTTTCATAATCAGGCAAGTCAAAAACAAATTTATCCTCTGCCACTTGCTATGCAGCTGTTTGCACCAGCCTCCCCGCCACCAGGCAGCCAAACATGGCAGCGCCCTCGGCGCCTCCGCTCGGCCAGCGGGCAACTCAGGCCGGAGACCAGGGATTCCGCAGCCACTGTCCTAATTGAACTCAAGAACCTTCCAGGAGAGAACGCGCTTCTACATAGCAACACGGGAACACATTCTGGCCCGGCGACCTCTGACCCTCCCTTCCAAGCCCGCACGCCTCTTGGGGAGGAGTACTTCCGGGTCTCTTTTTTACTATTCTTATAATGTCTATTGATACTGAATCTGATTCATTACTTTTCTTAAACTTATTCCTTTTACATATTATTTTTATTAAAGCTTTTAATAATCTACTAATAATAAATTTCTTTATAAAATTAGTTGTGCTGTTTCAGGAGTCACAGAGAACGAAAAAAATTTCATTCCCAAGACTGCGCCCGAAAATCACAGAAATCTCAGAATACGTCTCTTTGCCAGGTGGGATGAGTCTGCCAGGGACCTTCCAGGGAGCGAATTCCCCGTAGCACATGCTACTATAGCAACACTGGCGTGGGTGTAGCAGTCATTGTAAACAAAGCTCGGGTGAGCAAGTATTGCCTGCTGTGGTGATAGAGTGGCTCTCTGGCTTTTGACTGAGCATAAAAACTACATTCCATATTGTTATTTATATGTTAAAGTAGCCGTAAGGTTCATATCTGTGATGATTCTGAGGAAGACACAACCTTTGGGTTTCCCTCCTTCCCCTTTTCTTGTGAGCTTTCCTAGTAAGAAGTATCCCTGAGGCTGGGATAGAATACACCTGTTCATCCCTCTCCTGAGCCCTATCCAGGCTGTTCTGGCCTCCTTGGGAGGCTTATGTGCAGCTATTCTTTTCTCTAGGTACCCTGCCCAAGTCCAGGACCCAGCATTCTCTCTAGATCCAGCAAAAGCTACTCAGAATTTCCAGGCAGCCACAGTACTTCTCATCTATGAGGCAGAGTTGTGCACCCTAGAGGCTTAAACACGGAACTCCGAGAGGGAAAAGCCAAAGTCTGGATGGGGACAGTGCCTTCAAATAAACCAGGACCAGGTTGACATTTCTCCAGGAAGCATGAAAGAGCTGGGCATCAAATCCATGGTCCAGCAGCAGTGTGTTGGGTGTGGGTGTAGGAGGAGCATGAGGGACTCAATTTCCATTTTCTTCTGAACAAAGTGAGTGAGTGCTAAGATCCATCAGAACATGCAACTCAAGAAGAAAGGGGACTGACTGTCTCTTAGTGTCCTTGAGATTTTGTGACATGTGTGCATTTGGGTAACAAACCCTGTGCAAAGTTAGTAACTGTTTCAATCCACTCAACTGTGTTCATCCTGTTGTAGGGTCTGAGTGAGAAAAGATTCCAGACATTTAGTTTTAAAACCAGAACACTCACTGTGATCCTTGATGGCTATTTTTCTTTTCCTTCCTGTCTTACTCCTGCCATTTTTTGCCTTCCTTCTACCTTCACTGTCCTTTCCTCCTCACCCTCTCTTCCTTCTGTATTTGTCTATAAACATATCTAAAATAATGTTTCTATACTGATTTGGAGTGTGAGGCAGTAGGTTTTGTAATATTTTCCCTTCCCTCCTCTATTTGGCAGTATATCTTGATTTTTAAAAATCTATTGCTTTTACTTTTCCATTTTATTAGTTTTTTCCCTCATTTTATTGGTTCTTTAAGAATTTCATTCAATTTGTTTTAATCATATTCAATCCCTCTTCAACTTCTCTTAGATCTATTGACAGCTCACACTCTACCTCCAACTTTGTGCTCTTTGTTTTCCTTTTCAGCCCAGCAAGTACAATTTGTGATGACTACACTCTTGAATGTATAGCCTTTCACTAGAGCAGGATTGACCTATCAGGTGCCATACTCTTATTTTTTTAATTTTTATTTTTTTAATATTAGTTACAGTTTGTTAACTTTGTATCCCTGCTGTATTCCAGTCCCTCTTTCCCTCCCAATCCCACCCTCCTACCCTCATCTCCTCCCTGCCCCTTTCCAAGTCCACTGATAAGGGAGAACCTCCTCCCCTTACATCAGATACTGGTTTATCATGTGTTCAGGACTGGCTGCAAAGTCCTCCTCTGTGGCCTAGCAAGGCTTCTCCTCCCTGGGGCGGGGGCTTGGGGGGAGTCAAAGAGCCCAACATCGAGTTCATGTCAGAAACAGTCCCTATTCTGCTTATTAGGGTACCCACTTGGATAATGAGCTACCATGGGCTACATCTGAGCAGGGGCTCTAGGTTGCAGCCATACATGGTCTTTGTTTGGAGAAACAGTCTTATAAAAGACCCTGTGCCCAGATATATTTGGTCCTTGTGGAATTCCTGTCTTCTCCAGGTCGTATTAACACACCCGCACTGTTTATTTTTTATTTTTTTCATTCCCTGCATTCTGCTGGAGGTTTGGTTATGAGTCTTAATATCTGCTTTGATACACTGCTAGGTAGAGTCTTTCAGAAGAGGCCATATTCTTAAAAAAAAAAAACACAACCTGATTCTCATTTTCCTAGCAACTACCAGTAATCAATATCTCCTTAATCAGAGGTGTGAAGTCATGCCACCTTCCTAATCAGGCTAAGGTTTTATCTGTTGTGAGTTCTCACAGGTGTTGTGTATGCTGTCACAACTGCTATAGGTTTAATTATGCAACTGTCCAGGTGTGCCCAGAAAACATGTATTTATCTGCTGCTTCTGGCCCTTGCAGTCTTTCTGCTCCCCCTTTTACAATGATCCCTGAACTTTAGCAGGAAGGGGTGTGAACTAGATGTCCCACTTAGGGCTGAGCATTAAGCACTCTCTTATTCTCTCTACCTTTACCAGTTGTGTGTCTCTGCATTAACCTCTTTCTACTGACAAAAGGAATGATGAGAGTTGAGAGATGTGCTAACCCATGAGCAGTGTGAGAAGTCTTCAAGAATCTGTTTAATACTATGCCCTTTTAGAAAAGTAAGAGTAGGATCTCCCCTAAAGCCTCTTATTTATGTGGCCTCAGGATCTTGTTCCTGATAATGGTGCCAGGTATCATTTTGAACTTGTGGAGTGGGTCTTAGATCTAATAAAAAATTGATTGTTAGTCCCATGACGCTGATGCCTCCACTGCCCCAGTAGACATGTGTTGTCAGGCCTGTCATTGCTGTAGTTCACAGGCTTCGCTGCTCAGCAAGTCTTCTCTCATGTTGCAGGGGAAGTCATTGTGTTGAACTTGTCTGTCCAACCATTCCTTTGTTGGGGGACGTCATATTTTACAGTGACTGTGAAGAAGGCTGCAAGAAACACAAGACTGAAGGCTCGTGTGGACATATGTTATCGTGTGATTCATGTAAAACCAGGAGTGTTGTTGCTGGTTGAGATGGTGAGTGTGTGATAGAGTAAGATCTGCCACACCTTTCTCAAAAGCTGCTGGGTTTGTCCTTTCCTCTGATACTCAGTGAGTGATACAATTCTGATGACTGACAAGCATCTCACTGTGGCTCTAATGTTATTCACCTTGTTCTACAGATTCTTTTTATGTCTATTTGCTGCTTGTATATCTTATTTTTTGAGGGGTTTGTCTATGTTTTCCTCTTTCTTTTGAGACATAGTAGTTGGATGCTGGATTAGATTTTATTATGTAGTCAAGACTAACCTTGAATTTGTGAACCTTGTACTTCAGCCCCTTAAATGCTAGGACCATATATATATATATATAATCGTCTCAAAATTTTTACATCAGTTGTAAGATTTCTTTCATTTCCTCCTGTATGCTTGACCTCTTAATAGCTACAAACATCCCTTTTTGTCATACTGAATATGTAAAATTTCATTTTGTTAACAGTTGGCTCAAAGTGTAGAAAGTCTACATAGCTTAATAGTTTCCAGGTTGTCTATTTCCATCACTCTACTTTTTCGTGTTTAATTTTTATTGTTTGTTTGGCTGTCAAGACTAGCTCTCACTCTGTTCCTTGGCTTTCCTGGAACTCACTATATAGATCAGGCTGGACTTGAACTCAAAGAGATGAGGCTGCCATTGCCTATGAAGTGTTGGGATTAAAAGCATGCACCACTATCCCCAGTTCATAATTCCGTTTAAAAGTTATTTCTTTAAAAATTCCTAAATTAAAAATAATAAAATCAAAGTATGATTATGGTTGTCATTAGATCTGGAAAATGAAGTGCTTTTTAATTTGTCCCATATTATTGAGTTGATCTTCTGAAATAATGTATGGTGCCTATTTCTATCATGTTCATAAGATACACCTGTGGCAGAACTTTATATTGTATTTGGTTTTGTAAGTAAACACATATGACAAGTGTGTTGCTAACATCGCATTGACTGCTGTCACAGCTGGGTGACTTTCAGGTCTGACTTATCCTGAGTTTCAGAGATTAACTTCATAAGAAATATGATCCAGAAACTCACATCACTGGTGATAAAGGGGAGGCTGAGAGCTTTTAAAATTAAAGGCTGTTGGTTTTGAGACAGGTTATTGTATATTCCAGGTTAGCCTTACCTCACTGTAGCCAAGGAGAGAGGCCTGAAAATCTCTCAAAGGCTGCACACAGGCCGTGGTCCCTCCTGGATCCAGGAAGAACTTCTCTGCTTGCTCTGAGGAGCTGAGACTAAGACAAAGACCATGAAAAAAATGCCCAGTGTTTGGAGGAAATCTGTTATGTTCTAAAACTTGAAAAATTGCATTTTGACACTTCAAGAGTCCTTTTATTTTTTATTTTAAGAAAAATATACTTCACTGCTAGGTGAAGGTAACTGAGCACATTTTTAAAATATTTGTATATATTTAATGTTTTTATTTATTACAATTTATTCACTTTGTATCCCAACTGTAGTGAACTCTTTCAGCCTCTCCCAATACTTCCCTCCCTCCCTCTTCTCCTTCCATGCCATTCTTCCAACCACTGATAGGGGAGGTCTTCCTCCCCTTCCATCTGATCCTTGCCTATCAGGTCCCATCAGGCCTGGCTACATTGTCTTCCTCTGTGACCTGGTAAGCCTGCCCCCACTCAGGAGAAGGTAATGAAAGATCCAGCCACTGAGTTCATGTCAGAGGCAGCCCCTGTTCCCCTTACTAGGACATCCACTTAGAGACTAACCTGTCTTGGGCCACATCTGTGCTGGGGTTCTAGGGTACTTCCATGAATGGTCTTTTGTTGGAGTATCAGTCTCAGAAAAGACCCCTGGACTTTGATTATTTGGTTCTGATGCTCCCCTTGTGGAGCTCCTGTCCCCTCCAGTTCTTCCATATCCCCCTTCTTTCATAAGGTTCCCTGCACTCTGTGCAACGTTTGGCTATCATTCTCAGCATCTGTTTCAATACACTGCTGGGTAGAGTCTCTCACAGGCCTTCTTTGGTAGGCTTCTATCCTGTTCCCTGTTTTCTCCCTCTTCTGATGTCTATCCCATTTGTCTTTCTGAATGAGGTTTGAGCATCTCACCCAGGGCGCTCTTTATTGCTTAGCTTCTTTTGGTTTACAGATTTTAGTATGTTTATCCTATATTGTATGTCTAATATCCATTTATAAGTGTGTATATACCATGTGTGTATTTATGCTTCTGGGATACCTCACTCAGGATGATTTTATCTAGTCCCCACAATTTGCCTGCAAATTTCATGATATCCTTTTTTTTTTTTTTTTTTAAATTGCAGAGCAGTATTCCATTGTGTAAATGTGCCACAATTTCTTTCCAATCCTCAGTTGAGAGACATTTGGGTCGTTTTCAAAATCTGGCTATTACTGACAAAACTGCTCCAAATATAATAAAATGGGGTACAGCCTAAACGGAATTCTCAATATAGGAATATCAAGTTGCAGAGAAACACTTAAAGAAATGCTCAACATCCTTAGTCATCAGGGAAATGCCAATCAAAACGACCCTCAGATTCCCTCCTACACCCATCAGAATGGCTAATATCAAAAATTCAAGTGACAACACATACTGGAGAGGAATTGGAGAAAAGGGAACCCTCCTCCAATTCTGGTTTCCCACCAGCAATGTAAACTTGTACAGCCACTTTGGAAATCTATCTGGTGCTTTCTGAGACAATTAGGATTAGTGTCACACAAAGATCCAGCTATATCCAAAATAGGCATATATCCAAAATATGCTCAAGTATTCAACAATGACATTTGCTCAACCGAGCACACTTTTATTATGATAACACACACACAATACAAGAATTTCCCATCTTCAGCATACTGCTTGGAGGTGTTTAAACTTTTAGCATCTGCCTCCAACCAGTAAGATGCCCATGGCCTTCCCTCCTGAGCAAAGGATGCGACTCTGCTTATGTTTCCACTGCTCAAAATTTTCAAGCTCTTCCTGTTCCAAGTAGTCCACACAGAATTCGTTTTGCCTAGACTCTCATGACAGTCAACATGGTGACTTCATGCTCATCTGTGTGGAACCATGTGCAGAAGCCCCTTCTCTTTTTAAAGCCGAGTAACAGTCCAGTGTAGAAAGGCTGAACTCTGTTTATCCATCATCAGGACTACTCTTTATACATAGACTGTACTCTGTCTGTCTATCTATCTATCTGTCTGTCTGTCTGTCTCTTTCTCTGTGTATTTCTCTGTTTTTCTGATTATAAGCTGAATATAATAATAAATTCTTACATACCTAATTTGGAAAAACAGAGAGAACTGAGGAAATTGAATGAATGAGGCCTATCACAAGCTTTCAGATATTTTTAAGTATTATGGGTAATCCAGGCCATGACAAGTGAGATCCAATATCCATGTCTCTTTTCAAAACACACAGGAGAGAATAAAACACTTAGTAACCTGCCATGTGGCTTTTCTTTTATATCTGGCTTCCACATAATATATAGGTTTAACAGCAACAGAAAGAATAACTGTCTTTTTTCTTTAACTTGAAGTTCACATAAGCTATAGCACAGTACATAGTTCTGATGCCAGTGCACCAGCTCATCTTAAAAGAACTTATCCATCCTTGAACAGTCATATGTCTACTGTCCTCCCATAACATTTCAAAATGTGAATTACATGTTTTTCAGTGCTGAGGACCAAAAAAGGACTGACTGTGGCATAGCTATGACCTACAAGAATCACAACAAAATACAATATAAGATCACTACTTGAATATCTGAAGTAGGTGATGACGCTGTCCGAGGTGTACATCACCACAAAGAAGCTCATGAGGCACAGGATGGTCCGTGTGGCTCTGTGTTCTGGGGATGATATAGGGGAACGGTTGGTGCTGTGGAGAAACTGGGACTGTTTCTTATGTCTGTATAGGAAAGTCACCATGTATGCGCTAGAGATGGTCAGGAGAGCTACGAAGATGACATCTCTGAGAGCTAATAGTGTATAAAAAGTTTGCCAGACATAGTAACGCATGGGTGCAAGACAGCAAGACTGAGTGAGGTATGTAAAACCAGGTGAGGTCAGATTAGGCGTCACAGTTATGTATGCTTTAAGGGGACTGCTAAAGGATGAATAAAAGATACTCAGGAAAAGAAGGCAACCTAGCATGTGGTGTGGAGATTTACATTTGAACTTTGCTAGACAGGAACTTCTGGAACTAAGGGTGATGGCCTGGAGGATGCTGAGCAAGCTAGTGGCACAAAGAGAGAGGCTCCTAAAAGACCTGTACAAGAACATTACAAATTTGCATGTGGAGACACTCCATCTCTTCCCTGGCATAAAAATGTCTGAAGCTACTAAACTCATGACTAGCATCATCAGTAAGTGGATTAGGGCCAAGAGACTGATGGGTGGATCAGTGAGTCTGAGCCTCTGTCCACGAATAAACTTGAGGACCTGGAAGAGAAGAAGGATGATGTTGCCTGAGAGCCCAATTCCAGCTTCAAAATAAAGAATGTTTCTTAGGTTAATTTTATGGGGTACTTCATGGATTTTGTTCATTTTAAGGCTGAAAGAAGCAGGTAGGAACTGTAGGGGAGAACAGCAAGAAGATTCTTTATCTCAAATCTAGCCTTGCTCATCAGCTGCAGACAATTGCAGCTCTGCCAATCTGAGGAAGATGTGAAGTTTCACAGCTCAGCTTTATTCCATGTAATATCACCTCCACCTCAATAGGCCAGAAGCTGGCTATTGTTCAATTTCTCCATTGTTTCATACTTACATGCCCCTTCTGTATATAAGCTTTCTCCACATTGAAAATTGTCATGTGCAGTGGAAGTAATTTTTCCTAATGTTTCCTATTTGAGGTTTCCTGAGGCAAAAGCAATGTCTTACTTGTCTTTCATCTGCATCATGTTGATTGCCAGAAACATAGCAGCTCTGCAGGTTTAGGTGAAGTTCAATGACGATGGCAAGAAAGTAGAAATGAGACCCTGAGATGAAGCAGTGCCCTTGTCTTAAACAGGACCAGAGCAATTTTATTTCAGGCTCTTTGTTCTGCTCATTTACTGCAGACCTAGTGCTCTTCATGTGGTTGTGCAGGGAGCATTAGGAGTGGAAACTGTGAATCCAGACTGCTTCATGTCCTATCCACTCTTGCCATTTCCTGTTTGTGACTCTGAGCACTTGAGTGTTGAGCTGTACTGAAGGAACATATAACAGTTGTGCGCCTGTGTCAGGGAGATGTGTAAGAAGATGAAGTTTACATACCAAGCATGGCGGTGTTCCCTGCACGGGGTGAACTCTGTGGAAGTGTAGGCTGCTGGCTTTATTCTCAGGATGATCCTTATGTTTGTGTCTTGGAATAGTCAATGCAGTTTTAAAAACAACTGTTGGTCTGTCCCAGCCTGAAACAGAGAAGATTAATTATGACAGCAGTAGACTACCTGAGCAATCCTTTCCAGGGCATTCTGGTAGCAATTTAGGCCTTCTCTGTGCATCTGACATTGTAACTGCTTCTGAGGAATGTGCTGACATCACAGCAGAACAAAAGTCTCTGTGAGATGTGTTCAGTTATCAGAGGCTTCCAGGAACATGGTCCATGAGTTTTTCTCCTTCTGCATCTGAAAATAAATAAGTAAATAGAAATAGAATTATAATTACAATAAATATAGGACCATTCCCATTGTAAGGTATTAATAAAAGAAAAATTGTCCAGCCTATCCTGAAAGATGGGTTTCACATGCATCTGGGATTTCATACCTCCTTGAGGAAGCAGTGATATTTCTGATTCAGTTTACCCCAGCCTCAGACACATACCTGAACATTTCAGGAAGGGTGTTGTAGAAGATTCTTCCTCATGCAATACAGGTACTTACTTAATTCAAGATCATCCTCCTGAATTATGTAATAATATAAAACATTCTAGTCATGGAGTAAAATATAAATGTCAACTGAAATTCAAGGGTGTATTTTGATGTTATCTTGTTTAGATCATGGACTTGTAAGATGTAAAGGGGAAGCAGAAGTGTTCAAGCTCCAGTACATGTAGCACCAGCTAATTGCTCAGAGCAGGAGTCCAGTAGGTAGGTTGGGCGACAGATGGGCTAATTGCCTATCATGATGATAAGAGTTTGATCCGTGGGATTTACATTCTGGAAGAGAAGAACCAACTCTCAGGACCCTCAGCTGTGTACTGTGACATATCTCTGCCTCTCCCACAAAACAAATAAATGAAATGAATTGAACCATAGCTAAGTTGCATAGTCTGTGTGAACAATCAGATATAGTTTCTGTAGAGATGTCTCTGTGGTTAAGATCTCTTGCTGCTCTTGCCTAGGACCCAGGCTTTTTTCCAGTGTCCATATGACATCTCTAAATCACGTGTAGCACCAATTCCAGGGCATCTAAAAAACAGCTTCTGAGGTCCAAAGAGACCAGGTGTGTTTGTGTTAAAATACAGACATGAAAAACATACATTCATGGAAATAAATGTATGAAAAACACTCATACACATAAAATGAATCATTTTTTTACATTTAAAGATATTTTTATTAATGTAAGGCCTTTTTGACTTGAGGCATGTCAGCTCCTGCAACACCCAAGCCTAACTCAACAAAGACGATGAGATCATAAAATCTCTTTTTGAGAAATCTTCACTAATGGCAATCTAGGCACAGGGCAAAAATGCCCCAGCTCTCTTTACAGACAACATACTCTCCAAAATGGATAAGACATGGACTCAGGCTGAGTTTACTAGCAAGCTTTACCAAGACAGCGTAGGCAAATCTTTTATATTTTTTCTTCACAATAAAGTCTGCCAGATATATTAGGCCAAAAGGCTGAGAAAGATGCTGCAATGTTATATAGAGAGAATGGGTGTGTGATAAGGCAGTAAACTGTCTTTGTCATCTTTTAAAACAGATATTTTCAAAATAAATATGCATTGCATGAGTAACCCTTTATAAGTTTAACAATACTAGTAACATAAGAATAGTAGTAATAATACGGTTTAAAAGCTTTACTGGAAGATTGCTTGTGAGGTATCATTTTGAGTTACAATGGGCTTGATTGCCTAATGTCATTCTCAGGAAGCAGAGTTCAGATATAAATTCAAATGAAATCTGTGGTGGGGGGGGGGAGGTTAAAACCTTCCACACAGCTCATTGCAAAACTCTGCAAACAGCACAGTTTCAGCCTCTGTAACCAAGGTAGGGAACTCTGTTATCTTCACCATCCTTTGCAAGATGCAGCTGCAGACCCTGAATTACAAAGTGGGAACACTTTCATTAAACCATGACTTTAGTGGGTACGGCATTGAGGTCATTGGAAAACCTTATTTTTCTGAAGGTGAACACCACAGAAGTCTTCTTGATTTGAAGGTGGCATTCCATCTTGTTATCATAAGTACCACATGGCCAGGAGAGACACAGACATTTCTGAAGTCTCCTGCTATCTCCTAAAGTTGCACCACACTTTCATCAATCAGACATACAAATCAAATCAGTGTGGTATAAAAGTCCCTAACTTATATATGATGTGAAGAAATTTGTAGAGTATCTGTAATCATGTTATGGGGGCATTCTGGTAAAGATGAACTCAGCAGAGAATAATAGAAATGGAATTCTCTGCACTATTGCCTCCCGGGTGAGGCATCTCAGCTCACAGCAGCCTAGCAGAGCATGGCCTAGGAAGTCAAGGACAGAAGGCCTATACCCTCAGCAGCATCATTTAACACACTCCCCAATCACACAGGTTAAGAGTGATTTCCCTGTGAGTGTTCTAGGATAACCTGTTGTATTGTGAACCCAAATCACCTTCTGCACAATAAAAACACAACTTGATTCAGAGACACATGACATTCTCTATATAAGGAAATAAGTCAAAGTGCACATGACACAAGTTTAGGAAATTGGAACCACATGAAGTGTATGAAAAATAAAAGTTTAGTGAACACACAAGGAACACAGACTACTTATGAAAGCAGAAATGACCAACAGAAATCTGAGGCTCCCTTCGCTAGAGCCAGCCATAAGGCTGTCCCCTAGAAGATGTCAGAGGTAGCTGACCCTGCCCTGCAGAGGTCAAAATAAGCCAGGACTACAGATACTGTGTCATCCTGCAGTATCTGCAATCAGAGATGGAGCCTTGTAGCACCTGACATCCCCCATTGGGCCTCAACAACTGACTAGGGTGCAGGACAGTGACCTCAGCCTGTGGTCTGGAGGGAAGTGGATAGTGGAATGGAGGAGGAAACCCCTCTGCAGATGCCCTGCAGGGTGGGCACTTATGGCCTCCTCCTCAACATGAAGTCAGACTGCCCATCTCCTGGGGTTGAGGGAATAAGCACATGGTTTATGTCAGGAGTGAGTGGTGCCTGTCTACCCTAACATTCATAAAACAATGTACTTGTGATTTTCACCATTACACAGGTCACCTTTACCATGTTGTCATCACTCTCTTCCCCTCTGGAGATAATAAAAACAGACTGTGAGGATGAGAAGGGAAACTGACTCTTCTACCTGCAAATGGGTTGGCGTGAGCCAAAACTGAACAATGTGCTGTTTTTTGCACAACTCTTTCTGGAAAACTAGAAAGACTTGGGGAGATGCTGGTGCATCAGGCTAGAAAGCCACCACCAAGCAGATGTCAGTGCTGTGCCCAGAGAGGCCATGAAGTGCAGGAACTGCAGGAGCACCATGGCAAATGCCTGGGGAACATCTGGGCTGCTTTTGAAAACTGAAACCAGTGCGGTTATCTCTCAGGGTTCAGACTTGCAGCTAGGAAAATTATTAATATTTTTGCATGCATCCCAAATTAGCAGGAGAGTGATTTTTATACCTATGTGTCGGCGTGGGAGACCCACACCTGAGGCAGATTCCACTTGCCTTTCCATCTCAGTGAGGAAACACTGGCTAAGACCAACGCTCTGCTGCACAGCACTGACTCAACCTGATGTTAGCAGGAAGAAAGACAGTGCTGGTGCTTGTCTGTTCTGATGGGTTAATGAAAAGCTATAGACTGAGAAAATCTGAGAACCAAGCTCAGAGGAGGACTGGATGAGGCTTGGCTGACACCCTGAGGTCTCTGACCAGAACACCAGAAAGACTGATGGACCAAAACGTTGTTCCTCCCAAGTTCTTTGGCTTTGGATCCTGGCTCTTTAAACATCAGAAGGGGAAACTACCATGTGACCACTCTGTATAAAATATCTAGTATTCCAGAGCCTCCTCACGAATGTCCTCTTAGAGGACATGGTTTGCAGTGTGGGGAACAAACAATGAGCCAAGAGCATTAGTGTGCAGTTTAAGAAATTGAATTGGGACAAATGACTTCAGGGGAAAATATTGGTGGCATCTTTGAAGTAACATGAGGTGTCCTCTAGTAGATGGTGTTGATACAAGAAAGGATATTTCCTTCCAAACACAATGAAATAATTTCAGTTCCTTAAGTACAGTAGTCACATCAAAAATAGTTCTATGACAATATGACAAAAGTAATAGTAAAGATTGTTAATGAAAATATAAAATGAAAAAATCCACTTTCATAGTAGGCATATCAAT